ATGATTTGAGCTACAATACAACATACTAGAGCCAATTCTAGACTTAGCTCTCTAAACTACCATGATCCATGCTAGATACAACTTAGATACACAATTAAGAGAGTGATTTCTCTACCTTATGTCTTCAATTCAAGTGTAGAAGCACAAATATGCAAGAATCCATTCAATTTCTCTCAATCTCCAAGCCAATTCTCAAGAACTCAAGATTTTCTCCTACCCTCTCTCTCTCTAGTCGGTTGTGACTCTCAAAATGGGCTGATGAAATGTTTAGTCAAGAGTGTATGAAGTGGAGAGGAGTTGCCTAGATTAATCCACTAGGTGGCAAATTGGTAAATAGGGCCAACTCTTGTAATCTAGCTTATTTTAATCTAATTTAATCATACCAAATCGCATTTTAAATAAATATACCATTAAATCACATAATTTCTAATGATCATAAAACATTAATCAATTTCTGATTCGGCTGCCGATAAGGCCTTCAATTCGTAGTTTAAACACAGAACATGAACAGATAATTTACCAGTCAAACAGAGAGAAATGCAATTAAACTCATATACTCAATCAATCAGTTCAGACTTTCAGTCAATCAGTCAATTAACATGCTTAGTCTCAGTTTAGCAGTAAACAGTGGTGAAGGTTGTCACAATTGACCTCCTATGGAAGGCACTCAATCATCAAAAACTACACCTTCCACTAGTTTTGATGTCGGATAAGTTTATGAATAATTAAATTTTACTACTATACATCTTCAAACCATTATCACAAACTACCCTGATCGAAGAACGAGTTAATAAATTATATATTTATGTACCTCTTGATCAAATCTACTAACTTCATTTGATTCAAAATTTGCCTTATTCCGCATACTCTTTTACGAGTCCCTCTAATGAATTCCTTGCCGAATTAAACAAGAGAAAAGCCACTCTTACCAAAGTCCTTGATAATAATGATCCAATCACTTATCCTATCATTGACACCACTACTCCATCTACTCCTAAAAGAGAAGGAAAAGAGCGAGCCGAACATAGTGGCACAATTAATGTTTTACAAGATGATAGTTTATTACGCAATTATATGAACAATTCATATCCAATTCTCCTACCCAAATTAATGAAACTTCCATGATCTCTACTCAACCACCAATTCCCAATTATTACCCTAGACCAACCCCAGTCGATCTTCAACTAGAAGAACGACATTTTGATACACCTTTTTCATACTCTAGTAGTGTTCTCCGAGAATGGAATATAGATGGAAAATCTGATTATCAAATCCTCAATCTTGGCCAATATATGGTCATGGCTATTAATGCTACCCTTGCCAAACACCCATTTAACAACGATGATTCTACCATTGCTCGCATGCTTATCTCTGGATTTACCGGTCAATCAAAAGGCTAGTGAGATAATTATCTCAATACAGAACAATGACAAGCAATTTTAACTGCTGTCAATCGAGACCAAACAGACACTTCAATTTTAGACCTAACCACTTGTCAGCCAATTAGTGACGTTGTCACCACTCTTGTGACTGCCATTACTCAACATTTTATAGGCAATACTCAAATTGTTCTCGAACGCTCCAAAGAACTCTTAATTAATTTACGTTCTCTAACTCTTACCCATTTTTGATAGTATAAAAATATTTTTCTTTCAAAATCATATCAATGACATGATGCTAACCAAGATTTTTGGAAAGAATGATTTATTACTGGTCTCCCAACACTTTTCGTTGAAAAAGTCAAGACTAGAGTTCGTGCAAAACATAATGGACAAATTCTTCATAACCAATATACTTAACTGATATATGAAATATGTGATATAAGTGTGACGTTTATTTTTATTATGCTTTTAATTTCTGATATTCGTACTGAAATTAATAATAGTTTGCAATATATATCTGATTTAGAAAAAGAATTGGATCGTTTCAGAGTATTCTTATCAATTGTTTCTGATCAATCTATTATCAATTATTGTTATAGAAAAATTATTTGATATTTCTAGGACACCACGTGACGATACTACTTACTAATCATAATAGATTATGGGGGTGTTTTTGTCACAACCCGCTCCCTATACCCAATGGTTAAGTATCGCGATGGTCAGTAGTTGAAGTTACCTTCAGCCAATTCTTACACAAATTAATAAACGCGAGCGGAAATAATATTTAAGTGAGGGTACCAAAATAATTATCGGAGCTTCTATTTTTATAACAAAATTTATTGACAAAAAATGCCGATATTTACATATGAAGAATAGAATTATAAATACTATAAAAGTGCTATGTGTGTCTATTCTGTAGCCCTGCTAAGACTCTCCAAAAACTATTTCTGAATTGCATTGTTTCCTGAAAATTGGTAAACAGCTATAAGCACATGGTAGAGTGAGAAATATTACACTTTTATATTAGAAATTCGTTTCAGAAATCATATGATATTATACAAAAATATATAACCATAACCACGTTATAGAACAGAACAGAGGTCAATGGATTTATGACAATACAGAGGTACGGATTGAAGATGTGGCTTTTTACGGATTATAGAGGTGACTCCCATAATAGTGTGGCACTTATCTCCGCACAGAACAGAGGTCAATAAATCCATGACAACAGAGGGCTGTAGGGTGACCAATCAGAAATCAATGGTTTATTTAAGTCCCCAAAGGCATGGTGCTTTCGTGGTGGTACTTACAAAATATAATTATTTATAAAATCATTGTCAAATAATTTTTAAAATTTAAACAAACATATCCATGAGTTTCATTTTAAGCAAATAAAGCTCAAAAAATAATCAACGTAATTGAAATATTAATATAATTTATAAAACACAAGTTGCGTAAAATAAATTATGGTAACTCAAAACATACGTAAAGTATATTATGGTGACTCGAGGTATAATATAACTCACCTTAAAATTAATACCTCACTCTTTCTTTTCACTATCAAAGACCTTCTTGACTTGTAGTATTTTTTCCCCCTTTTCTTAGCTTGTTTTCCTTGTTCCATTCACAACACCACCCCTTTTATACCAAGTTTAATACTTGCTCAATATGGTTTGGGTGACACGTAGCCTCTCTATTTTGTAGCTATCATCATGCTCTAGGCTTGAAGCTTATCCCTTAAATGAATAAATTTAGATTAGTTGCTTATTTATACTTGGGCCCAAATCTTAAACAAATTATATACCTTCCTTTTTTTTTTGATAATATATATTCCATAATTTAATTATATTTTATCTCATACACCCATAACATTCAATATTTTATTTTGGATTTTTGTCATTTATAATTAAATAATACTAATATAAAATTTAATAGACAACTTAAATTTTCAAGTTGTTACAGTTTAGGAAGCCAAAAATTGGCTCTTTTTTTTTTGGACTAAAATCCAAAAAAGACATAGGCTAAAATAATTAATAAAACAAAATATCACATCAAATTTATAATTAATTTATCTTTTATCTCACAAATATTAAATCTAATTACAAAAAAAATCATCAAATTTTCAAACACAAATATCTTAACTTACTAAAAATAACTTAAAATATAATTAACTTTTCAAACGAGACCTATGTCACTTGTCATTTATCAATAACCCAACACAAAATCGTAACTCATTCACCAATCTCAAGACAACAGCTAATCGTGTGAACTAAGAGCATCTCCAATGGTGAACCTTTTTTTTCATCAAATCTGATGAAAAAAATGGTAATTTTCTCAATGTGGTATTACCTCCTCCAACGGTTGCATCAAAATAATACTGGCTGGGGACAATCGGTGGGACGACTGGCCGGTCGATCGGTAAGGCAAAGAATTTTTTTTTAAACTTGTTTGAACCTTTTGGACCCTGTTTGAACCTACTTATTTGAAAGGAACCAGTCGACCGGTGGGTCAACCGGCCGGTCGACCGGCCGGTTGACTGGTGGCCCCACCTCCAACGTTCTTGCACAGTAAAATGGTGAAACCTTACGCGTATTCTTAGTTTGATGAAATTTTTGCTTGATTCTCAATTTGATATCAGTTTGATGAAACCATTAAAGAAGAAAAATGTGACTTTTTCATCAAATTCAAATTTGATGCTGAGTCTGATGCAACATTAGAGATGGTCTAAGAGCATCTCCAACGGTGAACTTATTTTTTCACCAAATCTGAGTAAAAAATAACTCATTTCACCAAATCTGATATCAGTAACTCCAACGGTGCATCAAATCCAGCATCAAATACCGTAGGTTAACCGGTTGGTCGACCGATGGGTTGACCGGTAAGCGTAAATATATATATATATTTTTTTTGCAGCTTGAAACATTTTCGTAACCACTCTCGATAACCACTCTCCATCAAATTCTGAGGAAAATTGAAACAGAGCTCATTGATTCCATAACCACTCTCCATCAAATTCTGTGAAACACCCAAAGGAAACCCAAAATTATCTGGATACAACTGTGCCCATCATATACGCAAACAAGACCAGAATCGAAATGGGTTTTTGATTCAAAACAAGAACTTGATTGATTGTTTTGGTATGTAATTGTTAACATACAGCTTCATCATCTTCATCAAGAACTTGGTATGTAATCAGAACAGCTTCATCTCTGTTTTGGTTTTGGTGGGTTGACCGGTTGGTTGCCGGTAAAGGAAAATGTAATTTTTTTTTTTTTTTACCTGTTTAAACTTTTTTTGACCGGTTTGAACCAACCTATTTGAAAGGAATTCGGTCGACCGGTTGGTCAACCGGCCGGGCAACCGGTTGGTCGACCGAGTCCTCCCTCCAACGATCACAAATAGTGTTTTGGTGAAATCAGTATCTTGTCCTCAGTTTGATGAATTGTTTGATGAAATTTCAATCTGATATTGATTTGGTGCAACCGTTAAAATAGTAAACAGTAACTTTTTCATCAAAATTTAAATTTGATATCAACTTTGGTGAACCGTTTGAGATGATCTAACTAATTACTTCTCCCACCTTTGTCCTATTTTTTGGCCCATGATGTGTCGTCACTAGGCAGAACAGGCTGATGCGCTGCGCCTTTAGCGGACCAACAATCCATGATCGGTGTTGCCTTTCGCCCTGTGCCTTTCGCTCTGTCTCTCTTCCAATCCACTTCGCTTTACTCTCTCTCTCTCTCTCTCCCCACTTGCATTGTTTATGCCCTAGAATTTGCAAACCCATCAAGTCTTTCTTCTTCGGTTAGTCGATAATTTAAATCCATCTTACATTAGGATTTTGAGTGTGAATATATATGGTAAACATAAATTGTGTATATCTGTAAGTAGGAGACAAAGATGACTTCATCAGAGAGAATATCAGCGAATCTGAAGCTCATTGATTCGAAGAAAAACCGCATACAGAAGGCAATTCTTCTGCTAGCTCTCGAATGGAAGGATCTCGATGGCCACTTGGATTCGACCGAGAAATGTTTGGAGGGTTGCGTCACTGAACTCGAATCGAGAGAGAAGAATTTGGAGTCTATTCGTGAATCAGTAATCGAAAGCAACGAAGAGCTTGATTTGATTCGGAAATCGATCGAGTCACGCGTTCAAGAACTTGAGAGTAAAGAGAAGAGTTTTCATGCTTTCCAACAAGAACAGATCGAAGATTTGAAGTTGAAAGAGAAACAAGTCAATGTAATTCGAAGGTGGACCGAGGAACGAATCGAAGATGTTGAGTTGAGAGAGGAAAGGCTCAGTGAGAAGCTTGAGGTGGAGAAGAAGCATTTTGAAGAAATCCAAAAATCGATCGATCAACAGCTCGAGGAAGTCACTTTCAAAGACAAGTTTTTTGCGGATCGTTCTAAAGAAATTGATTCAATTCAACGTTGGATAGAGAGGCGCGTCAAAGAACTTGATACGAAAGAGGCACATGTTGAAGAGAGGTCCAAAGAACTTGAGTTGATGCAAAATTTGAATGAAGAACGTTGCAAGGAACTTGAATTAAAAGAGAAGGAACTTGATTCTGTTCAAAAATTGAATGAAGAAAGGGCTGAGAATCTTGATTCGAAAGAGAAGCAACTGAATTCTGTTAAAAAATATGTCAATCAATGCTTTAAGGATTTTCATTCAAAAAACAAGCAACTCAAATTGGACCAAAAACTGTTTGAAGAGCTCAGTAAGGAACTTGAATTGAAAGAGAAGCAACTTGAAGAACGGTCTAAAAAAATTGATTTGAAAGAGAAGCAATTTGATAATGCCCTTCATTCCCATGTACAGGTTGAGCAAGTGGAATGTGTGTCAGATGAAAATGTAAGTAATTGTTTGTCTGCAGATGATGAATTTGTAGTCAGAATGGATGGGAGGAATTTGCAGATGTTCCTAAATGAGCGTTCGAAGGATCATGAGTCAATGGTTTTTGAAGTTTGTAGAGCTCTTCAATTGTCATTGGACCCTGCAAAGCTAGTCCTGGATGCAATGGAAGGGTTTTACCCTCCCCATTTGAAGAAGGGAGATGTCGAATTCGAAGAGGGCGTAGTAAGAAGGAGTTGCATTCTTTTACTAGAGCAGTTAATGAAAATCTCTCCGCAGATTCAACCTCATGTGAAAGAAGAGGCGTTGAAACTTGCTCGCGAGTGGAAGGTGAAAATGATAGCGGTGCCCAGTAACTCTTTGGAGGTTTTGGGTTTCCTGCATCTTTTAGCTTCATACAAGTTGGCTTTTGGTTTTGATACAGATGAGCTTTTAAAACTTTTTGAGGTTGTTGCTGAGCATGAACAAGCACCTGAATTATGTTGGGTCCTTGGTCTCGCAGATAAGGTTCCTGGTAATTATCTCAAAAGCCAATTTAAAAGACTACCCTCACTTGGGATTATTAATATGTTACATTTTAAGTGGGTTATCAATTGAAACAGTATCTGAGTGATAGTTATTCATTACAAATTAGCAGCCCTCACCATTCATCTAACCCTTATTATCCACTTTTTCATGCAGTCTTGTTCTTCCCAAATTTGCATGTGTATGGGTGGGCGGGTTGGGAGAAGGATGATTCATTCATTTTAACTGGGTCAACAATTAAATCAATATTTGGGGTGTGCCAAGAAAGAACAGTTTTTCTTGTGGGTATGAATCATATGACAGTGAGTCACAGATGTTATCAGCTCAGCACCACAATTTTGGTGGTTTTTATTAGTTGGCCATATTTTTTCAACCTATGCCCTAATTTTGAAGTTAACAGATAGAAATATTAGTATAATTCTTTTTTATTTATTCCACATAGAATTTTACATAACAGTTGATCCATGCACTTAATCCAAACTAACATTATGCAAACTACTCATGAATGGTGATTGGCTACAATGTTTTACTTCCATGATGTGATTATAAATTCTACCATGCCAGTTATGCTTTTATCTTAGTTTCTTTTGTTCTGAAAATTGCTAAGTATTGGTGGTTTGTAGAAGTAGTTTTGTGTCTGAATGCTATTTTCTGAACTCTCTGCATAATATATCTCGGAGTTTCTCTTGATGAGTTCTTCACATATTCTTACCCTTCCTTTCCCTATTTCTGGCGGGCAAGTTTTTGTGCTGCATCTACTTGTATCACTACTCCTAAAATTTGGAGATGTCTATATTTAAGTAATTTGTCTTTCAGTCCTGGAAGCAGCTTGATGAAAACCTACAATTTCTTGCTTATGTGTGACAGATCTCATTGAAATTTTTGTCAATAAGAAACTACATCTTGTGGCTGTTGGATTTATTTTTGCATTCAAGCTTGTTGACAAGTTCCCACCAGTACCCCTCCTGAAAAAGTACTTAAAATACTCCAAGAAGGTTGCCAGGAAGATATGTCGTATGCGAAGCTACTCACGTGAAGCACAGGCATGTACTGCTTGTTTCTCTATGATAGTTTATCACTTCTTAGATAATCTCTAAATGCCATCATGTGAATATCTGATCTGAACTCTGATTGCAGGATAAGGCAATAGATGAAAGAGTAGCTTCTATTAGAGCTGCTATTAAATGCATTGTCGACCACAAGCTTGAATCTAAATTTGACTGTAAAAGCCTTAAAAAATTCAGTGAACAGCTTTTATTGCAGAAGGAAAGTAACAAACAGATTAAGCAAGCCTATCCTATCAAGACTCGAGCACAACAGTACAGTCATAATAAATTTATGTCATCCGCTACTGCTCCTGTGCGCCCCAAAGCTTCTGCCTCCAAAATCAACTCTAATTCCCCTACTTTGGCTAGCATTCTTACCAACATGGATGGAAAGAATTTGCAACTTTTCTTAATTGAACATTTGGAAGAGCATGACATGATGTACAAGCAAGTTTCTGATGCTCTTGAAAAGTCGTTTGACTCAGGAAAGCTTGTTCTGGATGCAATGCAAGGGTTTTATCCTCCACATTCAAACAAGGGAGGCATCAACATTGAAGCAAGTGTTATTAGGAGTTGCATTTTTTTATTAGAGCTGTTGATGAGACTCTCACCGCAGATTAAACCTCAAGTGAAAGAAGCAGCATTGAAACTTGCAGTTGAATGGAAAGCAAATGCAGTACTGAACACAAAAAATCCATGGGTGATCTTGGGTTTTTTGTTACTTGTAGGTTCCTATGAATTGGCCTCTGCTTTTGATGCAGATGAACTTCGTAATCTTTTTCAGAATGTTGCAGAGTATAGACATGCCCCTGAATTATCTCAAGCCCTTGGTTTCTCAGAAAATATTTTTGGTGAGTTGGCAGAAAATCAGCTTTGTTTTAGCTCCCTCTCTAATTATCTATCATAAGATGCCTGTGTGTGTGTATGTGTGACACACAGGTAAATTAGATTTTCTGGGGGTGTTTAGGAAGAGATTTTTTTAGGTTTTTTGGGCTAAAATAACATTAATACGCTAAAATAACCAACAAGACAAAATGTCACATCAAACCTATAATCATTTTATCCTTTCTGACACAAACATCATATCCAACTATAAAAAAATCCAACAAACTTCCCAAACATAATTATTTTAGCCTACTAAAATAGGCAGAATCTAAAATAGCCTACTAAAAAATCCAACTTTCCAAACACCTACATTATGTCGCATGAAAGGTTGCCCATTCTATGGATTTGGAATTTTAAATATATATAGATATTTTGGTTTGATTTTGAAATCAATTTTTGAGAGCTTAAAATCCAAAATTTGTTTGGTTTACAATTTTCTCAACAAATTTTTTGATCACTTTTTCTATCTCCTCTCTCCTTCTCTCACATCCTACACATCAATCAACTATTTTTTTCTCTCTCCCCTCTCTCATTCTCTCACATTCTACACACCAATCAACTATTTTTTTCTCTCCTCTCTCATTCTCTCACATCCTACACATCAATCAGTCATTTTTTCCCTCACATCTATTTATTCAACTACAAAAAAATTACAAATCATTCCAAACTACAAAACTCTAATGTTGTAAAAACTATTTTCAAAATATACAACAAAACAAATTTTCAAATTTTGAAAGTTCTTTTTAAAAATTTATCTTTCAAAATTGATTTCAAAACCAAACCAAACAATCTTCTTCTTTTTTTTTCCCTTTTCTCTCTATATTTGAAGCTTTCTTCTAATATCAATCATTCAATTATTTTAAACCTTCACGCTTACTGATTTCTGGATGTTATGTTTATGCACAATTACACTTCTTTTCTATTTTGTAACTTTTGTTGGCTAGACATGTATATTACAGTAAAGCTCATCACTTACATGTTGGACATTGTAACTGCATGATTATATATATATATATATTATATGGAGAGAGAGAGAGAGAGAGAGAGAGAGAGAGGTTTAGTCCTAGTGCACGAGGCTCTCACTACTGCAAGGTCTGGGAGAGTTAGACCTTAATCCATGTTGCATGGACTTGGGTACGGATGTTGGGTGTAGGTACATCTACAGGTCAAACCCTTCAAATCTCAATTTAAGGGTACATGGACTTGGTAAAAAATGGTCATATTTTTCATATATTATGTGATAAAATTGTGTTATATGTAATATACAGTGTCAAAAAGGAATTTTAATCATTTTATAGCAAAAACAATTATACAACAATATAATACTGATAATGTTAAATACAAATATATAATAAGCGTCTGATGTGAAGTATTGGACACATATCCCACACACTTGTCCAAGTGTCAGGTGTCCGACACAAGTGTTTGATTTTTTTTATGAGTCCATCTAACATAGCCTTTAATTGTTAGTAACTAGTAAACTAATTGATGGCGCAAACCTTACTTGGTTGGAGGCCCTTTATCTTTGGAAGCCTAGAGTTGAGGCAGAACACACCTTCTCCCTATGTCACAAGGCAGTCATCATCGTGACCCCTTTCCTCAAGTTTCTGTCTTGGATTGCCGCACTAGGAGTCATTGACAAATTGCAACCTTTTTCCTCTCTCTCTCTCTCTCATCGGCAATTAGTTCATTGCATTGCCGCCACTAGGCTATTGCAATCGTCAATCAAGCTTTGTGGTTTGCTAGATGATCATAGTCTTCTGTTCCGTTTGGGAAGATGCTGTGCTACAAAACAAGGTTAGGATAACCCTTAACCTGACCCAAGTCTTTTTACCAAACCTATTAACCCAAACGAATCCATCTTTTCCACATAACAACTACTGCATGATGAATCCAATCTCCAACCCAAACCAGTAGCCCAAACCTAGCCCAACTAAAAGCTTAGTCCATCTTAGAGCCTAGCCCAACCCAACAATTTTTAAAAAAATAAAAAAAGTCCAGCCTGACCTCTCTTTCCGAAAGTAGCTTAGGTATTAAAAAAATTCCTTTTGCCCTTTAACCATGGTGACTATCATCGAGTTAGTTTCAAAATTTGATACCCTATGCCAAGATGAGCAAGAATTGAAGAAATCATAACAATAAATGCAGATGAAATATGACTGAATGGAAGAAACACAACAACAGATGCAGATGAGACAGTAACTCTTAAGGGAATTAAATCCACAGTTTTCTCATGGATTAGCAGCTCGCTACCTCTACCTTATGGCAGATGCAATGCATGTAGCCCTTCAAATGGAGGAAGAAATAAAGAATGTTCTGTGTACTCTAGTGGACACCTTTAGAAGGAATAAAAAATATTGTGGATCCCAACTGAAGGGGCCAATCAGGAACAACAGAGAAATTTAGAGAGAGAGAGAGAGAGGAACCCTAAGGTTCTAGAGAGAAATTATCTCTAATCATACAATTATCATATATCAAAGTCAGTTACACAATGGTCACTACTTCTCTAGATATAGGCTATCAATTAACTACCCACTAACTAATCACATGTAAGGCACATGATGTCTTATATCATACTCTTCCACTCGAAAGAACTTGTTCAAAGTAAAGACAAAAACAAAGTACAACCAATGCATAAGAAATGAAAACAAGACTAGACAAGTACAATACAAACGAATCCCATAAGGAAGCTAGTCTACAATAAGGGAAGTGGTGTCGGTGCAAGAAGAATCCGGCAATTAAGGGACATTGAACATGTTCGACTAAGTAGTTCCAAGTCCTTATTCAAGATCAACCTAGCAAATATTCCTCCATCAAAATGAGTTCTCGTTTATGCACATCAACCGAAGCCATGTTGAGGTGTGAATAGGCCACCCATGTAGCATGCCATTTTGGAAGCAAGATGTCAACTAAATAACGCTTCTCGCATGGCCCAAGAATAAACCCATCCATCTTCCATGAAGCCGGGCCATGTATCAAATCAACACAAAGTGGAACAAATGGCATTGAAGCTAACATAAGAGGCATTTCTCAAAAGCAAGATCATTTAACACCCATGAAACTTCAATCTCATGACTCTCTACCACGACTTCCGTGAAATCTAGAAAAGGAATAGAAGGTGGAATTGCAACCACTTCCTTTATGGGAAGCAATGTAAGAGCAAAACTTGCTTCGTCCACAAAACTTTCTACATCTTCAAGGACACTTTCACTATCTATAAGAAAGTCATCTTCATCATCATAGTCGTCACAAACATCAACCTGTTCTTCATATTCACAAAAATTAACCTCTTCTTCATATTCACAAACATCAACTTTCTCATAAGCCAACGCCTCACAACCGTCCTCAATGATGGCAACATCTGGATCATAGTCTTGTTCCTCATCTTGATCAAAGATGGGAAAATCTTCATCACAAATGGAAGGAGCTTGACCACAATCTTGTTTTTTGCCACAATTTTCCTCCATGTCTTCTTCACCAAAGATAGAAGCTTCTTCTACGTCATATCTTGGTTCAACCACCTCGTCACTAAAGAGCATCTCATGATGACATCCATCATACAAAGTCTCTTTTATTCCAACACTAGTTGAGTAACCAACTTGGACATAGTCATATGATGGTTGTCCGATTGCAAAGCCATTTTGGTATTGATGTTTGAAACTTAAAATGCCCTTCTTTACGTGATTAGAAGGCAAGAATTGCTCCTTGAAGTTTTTCCTTATGTTCCCCTACGCTAACTTTTTCTTGGCTTTTTCATTACCTGCCAATTTGTAATTGTTTCCATCAATCGGAGGCATGACCTTTGAGGTTTTGAGAGACCAATTTCACCTTTCTTGCTTCCGGCACATCATAACACTTGAAATGACTCTCAATTGTATTTGTGGGGGCCGGAAATTATGGGGGCAATAAAGCCGAATAAAAGCATGAGGACGGCCACGGATGAAACTTGTACTTAGCTTCATCCTGGATGAAGCCGAAGCCGAGTAGATAAATCAGCCGAGGAACAAGTCAAACTAAGGCTGAATACATGAACGTGCAATGGATTGAGGGTGGGCCCGACCCTGAGGCCCAAAAGAAAAATATAAATAGAGGAGCATCAGCCAAAGAAAGGTATGTGAGAAAAAGTCTAAACTTGAGATATAAGCAACCAAGAGAGTATACACTAACTTGTCCGTCGGAGTGCTAATTCCGGCACCCCCGACCGGAGTGTTCATTCCTTTTCAAGTGACTAGCGAAGGATCTCGAGCGTCCCATTGGATCCAAAGAGTATTTCCAGACCACTTCTCCGCAGTATTCAACCATTCTTCGAACACATCCAGAATGTAATTTCCATGGAATTCGAAAAACTCTAAATTCTTTGCATTGTCATTCCAAGTAGAATCAAACCCTTGTGAATATGCTTTACATCTATGTGGAGCATCGAAGGAATCATCCAGTTGATTATCCTTGGAACCATTACTACCTTCGGTAGGACCGTCTTGGTTAAAGCAACAATTTGCCGTCTCATCTCAGCCATTTCATCTCTTTGATATGGAACTCCATTATCCCTTCCAACCAGAGGATTAACCTCGGCATCATCATCGGAATTCAGGGCATAAGCCCTACCACGACCACCCCTACGGCCTCGACCCCGTTGAGCCATTGACACAAACAGTCCAATTTTCAAAGTTACCCCAACCCAATTTGACCAACCAGTTCAAGAATTAAGAATTAAGAATCAAGATTTAAAGCAATAGCAATAAAAATGGAATACAATATTGTTCCATACAAGGCATCTGAGACAACCTAAGAAATGAACAATGGAAGTAGTAATCAAAATAAGCCTCAAGAACAAGTCTTATAAATCGTATGTCTAGATTGCAAGAACAGGTCGAAACTCAAGCTAATGATGATGAAGAATCTCAAGTTGATCAAATGCAAACCAGATGGAACCAGCACCGATTGTAGTGCAAAAACTCGAATGAGAACCCAATCACGAACAAATCTGTTCACAACTGTAGTGCAAAAACTCGAATGAGAACCCAATCACGAACAAATCTGTTCACAATCTTCCAATCGCAACAATCACCAATTGAAAACCCAGAATTTCAATCTTTGAACTAAACTTCGAAGAAAACCCAGGTGCTATGATCTAGAACAAGCAAATATTATCACTTTCGTCCAATGGAGTCGATGAAGCAATCTGGTTAGATCACGATTTCAACTTCGACTTTAGAAAGAGATCAGGTCGTGATGGTTATCCCTTGCTTTCCTGACAGATTTGAACACATGAAGGGCTTGGAACTGGAATTCTAAACTCAAATGAAGGCTTCAAACTGGAAATCTGAACTCAAACGAAGGCTTCAAATAGCAACATAAGTCACATTGTGGGTTACGATCTCAATCGCCTGACCCAGGTGCTTCAATTGAGGCTCCAACTGTTTGTTGTGATAGAAATTGAACCAGGTTAGTTTCTAGATGATGATTCAACTCAAAAATC